CAGTCATCTTCGTGACATACTGCAGTGCCTCCTCCAATTCGGAAAAGACACGACATTGACGTCGTTTCGCCATATCCTATAAACATGGATTAAGACTACTAAGTTATGACATTAAAATGACAAATATAAATCGCAAAAAAGTCTTAATTAATTACTTTGAGATAACAAAACGCTATTTGGTAGCAGTCGTTCCGCCGCCGCCTGAATGCCCGTGCTACCTCATCCTCGTTAGTTGTCGGTGCTTCCAGACATTCGGCTTCCTTCGGCACACAGACTGTTACTTGCCAGTTAGTGTGGCCTAACATATACGCTACCTGGAATGGTTTGAGATGGAAAAGCGAAAGCTGCTGGGAGAAGCTTGCAAGGATGACTTACTTCCACCATCCCTGAGAGGAACGATTTTGTAGATGGAATATGATAGAGAAAATGTTTTATTTGAGAAGACCATGTCACAAGGCACTTCATTCGATTTTCTGGTTCAACATCATTCATCACCAAAAATCGAGAATATCGCAGATTGTTGCGGCTGCAAATTAATAGTTGTTTGAACAAGTTTTGCTCTTAAAGAATGCGTCTAGATGAAGAGAAAGAAGTGAGATGTCAAGCTACAATATGGAGTACGGTGTTGCTAACTCACTCCATATACGGTATCACCACTCGAGTCACCCAAGATGTATCATCAAGAGCGCTGGATGCCAACTCAATATGTGCCGGAGTAAGTGCACTATTCACCCGTCCATTTTGTGATCGCCGTCGTGACAATTCTGGCACAGTGAAAAGAGAGAATCCGTCATCAATGATGCCATCACAGAATCGTTTTGAACGTAACACTGTAAGCAAACAGTTCGTTTTAATGCTTAGAAAAGTGCATTTGATGAATGTTACATACAATGGCTCTTAGAATGTACAGGATGGAGAGGTTGCAAGGTTGTCGACATTCGCGGAGAGGGAATTGCCGCAGATGCTCGCAAGGGGAAATAAGAAGAGTCAGCCACGGCCCGCGGACGACGAGCTCGGTATCGTTGGAATCGTTCAGTAGCGAATATGACAATAATATTGAGCAATATCAGAGGCAGAAGAATGAAATAAAATGGGATATTTGGAGCAACCATCTGGCAGACGATGAAGATGATTGTATCTGCTGCACAGGCCAATGTGACGTGTCGTGCGTAGGAAATCATCCGCAACCAAGCGTTTCTAGCTCGGAATTGAGCAGCTCGAGCGACTCTTTTGGTTCGAAGGGAAAGAAAGGACAGACGTTGGCATGGTACTTGCAGAGCATCCGTCCAACGTTTACTGCCAATTATTTCCTCTTCAATATAGTCTAGGGCGTCCTGGAAAGAGCAAGATGTATAACACAGTGCAGAGGCAATGCGAAATTCTTAAACGTACTTGTATGCTGTACAACATGGGCACATTATGCGCATCCAGAATCCTATCAAGTAGCACGCAAGTCCTATTCCGGTCTGGTAGATCGTCCGGATGAGCCTTTTGCTTCCACTCCGTCTTCCCAAGAAATACCACCACTAATTTAGGTGACTTCCTAGCCGCGAAGTAGGCGATCTCGAGGAATGAAGTCGCATTGACAGTTGCGGGGTCTATTACGAAAAGAAACAGAGAAGACCTCTGAAAGGAATTCCTTAGGCTGTGAAAGTTGGGTGAGTCCATCGGGAGTGGAAGAAAAAGTACTCACTTCCTTGGCAATACTCTCTTCATAGATCATATTTTCACTCCATACGCTCCGTTGTGGATCGTAATAAGAGATAGCTTTCTTCTTTAGAAAAGGGATAACGAGCTGCCGCCGCCAGACCTGTCAGGACAGAGATCAGCCTTTATAATACGGCTTATAGCCAACAGATCATTAAAATTCAAAAAAGTTAAGTTTCTACGAAGATTATTTGTTGCAAATGTATGGTCCTTAAAACTGCTGTACGATGAAGACTAAAATAAAGATTCTTAGTGATAAAGCAATTCAAAAATGCTCTGACTTTGAAAGTGCGAAAATTTTGAGAAAGTGCATATTTTGACAAACAAGCCCCAACATATGTATGTATTCCTGTATAACTAGTATGCATTCCTTAATTGCTCTGACTCAAGCAAGAACAGTTGCAAAGTTTGAAAGTTTGAGATAAGCAAGATTGAGCTAAACTTAACTGTGTATCTCACTAAGTGAGGAGCTATATAGCACGTAGAACAATATATTTGAAATTGTCTCTGTACTTGTTTCAAAGACTAAATTAGCAGAGTCATTCAGAATGGTTTTCTAAGTAGGAGAAGATGGCAAGGAGAGCTTTACCAATTTAAAGGAATCTTATGCAAAATCTAAGCTTAGTGGAAATACTAACGAGTGAAGTTACTTGGTTTGACGTGGCGACTCGAAAAGGCATGCATAATGGTTACAGCTTGCAACGCTGATTTCAAAACTGCATCCATATCTGCGAAGCGTTTCTGTGGAAGAAGTTATCAAAAATTTCTATGCCGAAACTAGCTTAAGTGGCGCGTCAATAATTGCTCTGTAACACCAAATTCAACCTGAAACAACAAGCAATTTGCCTTGTTAGAAGGACATGTTTTCATCAATATTCAACCTTAGCTTGGCTGTTTTGGGCCAAGGTTGAAAATTGCGCAATGTATACCAGGTCCTTTAAAGGTCATTGGTCAAGAGCGTCAATAACATCTTGCGGAGAAAAGCTTCACAGAAGGCAGATTTGAAATCAGCGTTTCGAGCGACATTCCGCCCTATTCTATATCGCCACTTCGATCATGTAT